TGATAATCAAAAATGAAGTCAAATATTCACTTATCTTATGCTACTCTGAGTTTAACGGAGACTCAAGGGCATGATTGTCACCCAAGTGCATGTATTTGTCGCGAACCACAGTATATAGAACTTTAGATAGAGATGATGAAAGATCCTTATTGCAAACACATTCATGTAATACAAACTGAATTTGATTTGAGTAGAAGCCACTCCAATTATATATATATGTGTACATATATATATATATATATATATATATATATATATATGTGTGTGTGTGTGTGCGCGCGCGCGAATAAAGTTGGATGAACATCCTACGAAATGCTAATCATAGAAACAAGTTTAATTTTTTTACTTTGGCTTGTTTCACCGATTACCTGGATGAATGATAATTTCTTTAAAAAGGGGGAAAAACAGCCTTGCTTTCTGTGAGGTTCTTCGTTCTCGAGCGGTAAACCACGACGAATTAAATAGTGGTTTCCCTTAAAAAGGATTACAATGGTTCGATTCCTGCCTGTGAAATTCATTTGCTTTATTAGGTTTTTTAATCCGCAGCCGATACACGCGGTTTAATAAATATGGAGCGTCTATTTCAAATACGAATCGTACGCTATCATAACCTTCGAAGAAATATATATATATATATATATATATATATATATATATATATATATATATATATATGTGTGTGTGTGTGCGTGTGTGCGCGTGTGTGCGCGTGTGTGTGTGCGTATCTAGGCAGCAATCCTTCTTTCATGCACATTTCATTGAATACGACAGACAAGGTGCTTTTATTTAGTTTTTTTTTTAAAACTAAATAAAAGCACCTTTTCTGTCGTATTTAATATATATATATATATATATATATATATATATATGTGTGTGTGTGTGTGTGTGTGTGTGTGTGTGTGAAAGAGTATATAAATATAAATAAATATATATATGTATAATTATTTATATATTATATGCGCGGTACTTATTAGAAAGCGCTCAATTGTCTGACGATCGCTAAAGCGTGAAACCCAGGGTCACAAACTCACATCTATCGAACCAAATATAATATATATATATATATATATATATATATATATATAATATATATATATATATATATATATATTAAGAAATGGACAAGGTCCGACAATTTATTTATTAAAGACATTTTTTTTTTATGTTTAACGTTGTTATTTATAGATACAAAATAACTTTATAAATAATTGCTTAAATGCTTGTATCTATAAATAACAACGTTAAACATAAAAAAATGTCTTTAATATATATATATATATATATATATATATATATATGTGACTCCTAAGTGATTGCTTTCTTAGCTGAGGATGCAGATTTGCTGTCACCCAAAGAAATAGGGATGGAAGCTCGACTCTTGCTGAAACCTTATTTTCTCTTTGGATTACTTCTCCCAGTTTGTATGCTTGACCGAATCGGTAAGACACAATCACCAAAAAGGCTGGTTTCTAAAGTTATGGGACGTTCAAATCCAGGATTATTTCCAAACAGCGATGTCTGTTAATGACCGTGTAATGCCAAAAAAATAAAATTGATATGAAAGAAATATGATTGAAAAATTCATAATGATCTATACATTCAACAAAATTACATTTCAAGCCCGTTACAACATATCACAATGCATTTAAACCCGTGTCTCTTTGATAACATTTCTTTCTGTCACGTGGTCATGTACGACGTCACAGGACCGCATTACGGATTTACGACCTGCGTTATCGTCGCATAGCAAACTACGATGTAAACAAATCAGGATGTCATATTTGACGGTGAACATCTCTGTCTATATAACCACTCTGATGATGGCTCACGCCGATCGATAGCTTAGATCGACGACCAATATTATAACGAAATATCGAAATTTTGGATAGTTTTTGTCTTTAATTTCTCTTGAAACTGAAGCCATTATACGCCGTTTGAAAAGGCTCATGATAAAACATAATAGACATTCGTTGTCTGTTATATATAACAATATACATATATATATTAATATTTAACAATATATATATATATATATATATATATATATATATATATATATATATATATATGTATTAAAATATAACAGACAACGAATGTCCATTATGTTTTTATATATATTTATATTTATATACTACGAATGTCTATTATGTTATTATATATATATATATATATATATATATATATATATATTGTTAAATATAACAGACAACGAATGTCCATTATGTTTTATATATATTTATATTTATATACTACGAATGTCTATTATGTTATATATATATATATATATATATATATATATATATATATATATATATATATGAGTAGGTGAATTAAGCTTCTTGTAAGGTCTACGTTCATCTAGCACACTGGAATAGACTGGACTCCAGAGCTATAAATGCAGTCTGTGTGGTGATGACCCAGTCCCGGTGGGTGAAAGTTTGCATAGACTGGCGTCAACGGCCAGGGTGGAGATTTCTCCGGATGCTATCAACGGCTCTATGTTCATGACCAAGGCTAGTCTTCAATGTAGAGGACATGGTTTGACATGCAGAGGGATGGGATCCGCCAGGTATATTTTCCCAAGACTCAACACGCATGAATAAATACGTCTCCATGGACGTTTAGGTAACAGGTCATGGGTTTAGCTACGCACTCACCCTACGACCACAACCGGTCATAGGACCGATAATGATGATGATAATATTTATTAAGATAAATGTACTGAAGTATATGCCTAGATCTATGCATGAGTTAGCAGTTTGGCTGTACGTAAACCTAATTTATGGTGATAGATTCACAATTTAATGTTTGAATAGGTCTGGATAATATGTCTCAATTTGCGTATCTGTGTGCGTTTTCTTAAGCGTGTTCGGGTTTATATGGACAAGACTTTGGTATGCATGTGTGAGAAAGAGAGAGAGAGAGAGAGAGAGAGAGAAATACAGACAGAGGGTGAGTTTACGCTCGCGTTGCGGCGAAAGCCCTAAATCGTTCACCTCTTTTACGTGTTTCCTCCTATTAGGTCATGCGGTTCGTTATTTATTTATCACGTCTACCTGTTTCCTGCATTGTACAGATGAATGGCTCTTCATCTACTACCGCCATCAAACATGACCCACATTAGCTGGCTTTTCTTCATCCAGGCAAACAGATGACCAACACACAGGAATACAGACATATTTAAACGCGTATGTAATAAAGTACGAAACGCTATACTACGGTTCGTGAGACGGTGTGTCCGAGTCGTTAGAGGATTTTCTTTCTGACCATGAGATTCGGGGTTCGAATCTCAATTTATCAGCGTGTAGATTTTTTTTTTTTTTTGAGGGGAGGCATTATTGAAAGGTTTTGTGAGTGAAATTGCGCAGACGTAACTATTTGAGAGCCGTCGATGGTTCTACTAGCACGAAGTCACAAGCCATCGTGACAGAGGGTTTGAGCATATTGGCCCTTTTTCAGACTGCTGATCATTCCAAATAATGCGCTCTCTCCCATAAACTATGATTAGGGTTCTTTCAGCTCGGTTGCAGTATAAACCACAGGTGGTATCTGTGGGTGTTAAACAAACAATTATGCCTGAGCGGGCGTCTGCATCAGCAATTGTCTAACCGCCCTAGTAGACGCCCTGTCAAGGCTGAAAATTGCGGATTGTGCAGCTCCAGCCCAGATGTGTCCAACAATTCTTCATTTGTAGTGTGATCAGACTCTTGTAAAATAGAGCCTAACAGAAATAAAATCCTAACAATTTCATGTCAAATATCATTATCGTATTAAGAGGTTTTTCCTTATTTAATTTTAACATCAGAAAGAGAGAGCTGAAATTTCTGGGACACATGAAGAGAAAGGAGGGCTTGGAAAATCTGACGCTCACAGGGCGGATAGAGAGAGAGAGAGAGAGAGAGAGAGGGACAAGTGAAAGCAACGTGCCATATACACTAACGGGGTTAAGTAAGCGGATGGCAGAACAAGGCCTGGGGGAAATAAGAAAAAAAGACAAAATCTTATTAAGAGTTAAAAGGAACAGGAAGAAGTGGAGAGCCATGATCGCCTACGTCCTGAAGGGACACGACACATAAGAGAAGAAGAATGCTGAAATTAAATTTTGGGGGGAGCTTTGAATAGAAATATGATATACGTTATTCTGCTTTCACAATTGAATCCATGGTAAATGATACTCAGATTTTGTGTGGACATAACTAAAAGTGGTAATATGTGTGTTTTATATTGTAGTTTTGTTGAAGTTATTTTTTGGAATACCGTTTGAGTTAAGAAATTATAGGATATTATATGGACTAATGTCATAAAAGTTCTCTCATCTTTGTTGTTTGATTTTGTTTACCGGCATATCAACACCTCTATGGGTTATTTAATGCCGAAATTAGAATATTTTGTACCTAATTTTATGCTTTCAGAGTAAAGGTTTGTTTTTTAGACATATATTTTTTAGATTATAAAATGTATTGTTGGTAATTTTACTATAAAAATGTATTTTTATGATATTGTTTTGCATTAATTGTTATTTTGCTATTAAAAAATTATTGTTCGTCATTTTTATAAAAATGTACTATTTTTATTTGGGGGTTCATAGTTGGGACCCTAAGAGATGCTACCACCCTGCATCAGGGTGGACCTGGAAACAACAGCACTTAAGAGGTGGTTCCACGCTCTTCAAAACCTACAATCTCGCGTTGCTGCCGGATGTAGTCTATCGTCAGACCCAGGACGAACCTGGCAGAAAGAGTCAGAATTAAAACATGTTTCATGTCAAATATCATTATCGTATAAAATGTTTTTTCGTATTTTTTTACTTATTTATTTATTATATGTTTATATATTTATTCATTTTTTTCCTACAATATTTCATAACATTAATTCTGGGAAACTTCATACCGACAACTAAAATAAAACATTTTTTTTTTAACATAAGACCACACACATTGTTCGTCGGGTGTTTTGTTGTGGCAACCAGCAACTTTTATTTTTACACATCGCTTCAGCTAATGTCAACCTGCAAATGTAACGATACGAAAGCATTAAAAGGGCAACGAGTGCATTTTCCGATAGAAGTCAAATTCAAGGAATCTCTTTTATTCAGTTGTGGCTATACGAATCAGTTATTTCAAAATCGGTAAAAAGGAAGGAAGGAAGGGCGTAAAAATAAGGATCCAGGCGTCTGCAGACACGGTTGGTTTAGAAGGAAACATTTTATAGATTGTCATCATTTCCATCGGATTCGAACAAACGAAATCAAATATATTTTTTTCCATAATTTTTCATTGCTCTGCCTTTTACTCTCGTTCCCCCTTCATTTTCCGTATTAAATATTCAGTTTATTTTTATTCTTTTCTATTCTTTTCTATTCTTTCTTTTACATTTGTACAATTCAGTTTACTTTTATTCAACTCTCTTTCCTCTTTTAATGTTTTTAAGTTGGACGCTTTATCGCACCAGTTTTGTCTGATGGCTTCCATTAGCGATCAAATGACAGCAAATCTTCTAAATGCTCCAGCACTTTACTCAGTATTATTATTATTATTATTTTCTTTGATTTCTGTTGTATATATATTTCCTTCCGGAAAAAAAACAAACAAAAAATACTAGGGCACAGCATCCACATATTAGATGGTCAATATTTTCTTCAGGGTTTGTCTTAAAATTACAAGTTTTGTTTTTATTATTATTATATTTCACTGATCAATTAAAAGAAAAAAAAAACAAAACACATTTTACATAGATATAACCCTTCGTAAGATTAGGGCTGTACTCGTGAGAACAATTTTTTGTATTCCGTTAAAGCATGGGCTTCCAGGAATCCCTTCATTGAATCTACTGGAATATTTTCCAACCAATCTGAGGGTTCAAATTACAACAGGGATTGCTGATGTTCCATGTGCCATTTTTTGATGATTTTTGAGATTTTGATTTCAAGGTCCTTGTATTTTGGTAGTTTTTTTTTTCCTTTTTTTTTTTTGAAGATCTTCAAAGATACATGTCTGGTCGATTATATTTGACTGTTATTATTATTATTATTATTATTTTGTTGTTGTTGTTGTTACTGTGCCTGATTAGCACAGTGAAATAAGTGACGCTTGAGTACAAATATAGGAAGCCCAATGTACTAATCATGATACCCAGTTTGACAAGGGTATATCAGGAACATGCACCACAGCCAAATGTGCGCCATATGGTGACAGGTTTTAATAAAAGCAGCTAATAAATTTCTATGTGGGGGCTATTTGAAAATACCTTCAGGTCGTTTAACCCTGTAAGCTCAGCTTGCTTGCTTTTTCTTTCTTTCTTTCTTTTTTCTTTCTTTCTTTCTTTTTTTTTCTTTCTTTCTTTCGTCCGGTCGTTCGTTCTTTCTCAGGCCTCAACTATATTGAGTCTCAATTATTCTCACTTTTGTTATTCCTTCTTTCTTTCTTTCTTTCTTTCTTTCTTTCTTTCTTTCTTTCTTTCTTTCTTTCTTTCTTTCTTTCTTTCTTTCTTCCTTTCTTTCTTTCGTTCTTTCTTTCTTTCTATTTCTCTCTTTCTTTCTTTCTTTCGTTCTTTCTTTCTCTCTTTCTTCCTTTCTTTCTTTCGTTCTTTATTTCTATTTCTCTCTTTCTCTCTTTCTTTCTTTCGTTCTTTCTTTCTATTTCTCTCTTTCTTTCTTTCTTTCTTTCTTTCTATTTCTCTCTTTCTTCCTTTCTTTCTTTCGTTCTTCCTTTCTTTCTTCCTTTCTTTCTTTCGTTCTTTCATTCAACTTCTTCGAGCCTCCATCTTTCTCATTTTTCATTTTGCTTTCTGTTTGTGTTTCCTTTAATTTTCTTCTTTCTCTCATTTTCACCCTTCACCTTCTCTAAACCTTCATTTCTCATTGTCTTTCTTTCTTTCTTTTTATTTATTACATTTTTCTTCTTTCTTTTATACTCAAGAAAATCAAATCAACGAACTAAGCCAAAAGACCGTGTCACAAATTGAAGCAGAAGAAAACATTTTTCCCGCCAAAACAATTAAAAACCAGTTAGCGAATTATTTTCTGTCATCGCCAAACCTTTTATCATTGTAATCTTCTCCGCTTGTTTTCGCTTCGTACAAAAGTAGAACTAAAAAAGAAATGAAAAGCTAAGAAGATTATTGAAAGAAAGAAAGAAAGAAAGAAAGAAAGAAAAGAAAGAAAGAAAGAAATGAATCAAAGCAAAAAACTAAAAAAAAAGAAGAAAAGAAAGACGGAAAGAAAAGAAAAAAAAATAGTACTAAAATGGTAAAAGACAAGATATCCTTAAGCACGGACAGTGGAATGAGCATTTGCTGTAGGTTAAGTGAAGGCTTCAGTTCGAAATTCTCTGGAGGTTTTCCAGATCAACAGACACCTGAAGAAGGTCACAGGGCACTACCGAAACGTTGTGATAAAAAACAACAAAGATGAGGAGATTAGTTTTAATGTGAATAAGTAATGGTTTTCTATATTTTTTGAAAGCGTCTCCTGTATTAAAGACTAAAATCTTTTAAAGACATTTTTGGAGGGGGGTGAAATAATTATACAAAAGAGAAAATCTGCGAAATGCGGTTTCTGGATCTTACTCAGAATATGCATACAGTAGCGACCACTATTGGAGAACGAAAGATTAAAAAATCAAAACTCCAAATACAGAAAAAGGTGAAGAAAGAAAGGGAAATACGAATACTGTATTGTCGTAATTGGTTATGTGCTAAAGCATAAAGCCAGGTAGTTAATCATTCTGTGATGTGAGCAATTTTGCACATTAGAAAATCTAACAAGTAGTTGGAATCGATCTCAAATACCAAAAACTGTTGAGATCGGACCGTCCGCTTTTATAGTGAATTCTTGTTGATAAATTATTTCATGTTTTATACTAAAAAAAAAAGTACTTTCTTCCTTTTTCTTTTCTTCGCATTCATTACCGTATTTTTACTTTTATGAACGTGAGTTCCCCGAAAATGTACGGACTGAACTCAGTTAAAGCACATCCTAAGTAGGCAGTAAGGACAGAATGGCATTCCTGGAAAGTAATACAACGTTTATGAGGCCATTGAAACTTACTAGAATTGAGTCGGAATCAAGACATTGACTCCAGTATATCAGTTTCATGCCAAACAATGAATCTGTTCTATAAGTCCTTAAAAGAAAACGATCATTTATTTGAGCTTAGTACGAATATAAGCGCTTAAAAAAACATCATCAGTTCAACCTCAGTATGAAACAGTAATATAAGCTCTTAAAGAAATGATAATTTACAAGATCTCAGAATGAGTCAGTAATATATGGCCTTAAAGAAGCGAGCATCTATTAGACCAGAATATGATATAAGACCTCATAGTAATATAAGCCCTTAAAGAAGCGAACATCTATTAGATCATATTATGATATAACACCTCATAGTAATATAAGCCCTTAAACAAGAGGACATCAATTAGACTATAGTATGATATAAGCCCCCATAGTAATATAAGCCCTTAAAGATGCGAACATCTATTAAACCATAGGATGATATAAGACATCATAATAATATAAGCCCTTAAACAAGCAAACATCTTTCTGTTTGTGGAAATAACCACACTTCGCCTGAGGAAGTTTGGGCAGGGTTAGGGTTGATGGCAGAACAGGGCCTGGGGAATATATGAAAAAAGACAAAAACTTATTAAGAGTTAAAAGGTACAGGAAGAAGTGGAGAGCCATGATCGCCTACGTCCTGAAGGGACACGACACATAAGAGAAGAATAATGCCGAAATTAAATTTTGGGGGGAGCTTTAAATAGAAAAATGATATACGTTATAAGAAGCGAGGCATTATTAAATACAACGGTCTATGACATAAAAGTATGACATAAAACCTCATAGTAATATAAGCCCTTAAACAAGCGAACATCTATTAGACTATATTATGATATAAGCCCTCATAATAATATAAGCCTTTAAAGAAGCGAACATATTGGTACGGGCATCAAGTGTCCGACTTCTCTGTGATATTGTATATAATACTACGGAGTAAATTCTCCTTTTTATCACATGTACCACAAAATAACCTAAAAAATACACACACCAGTACATACAAAGTATATAAATAAGTTGTATGAAATTACCATGCTTTTCCTGTTATTAATGTATGTCTTATTTTCTGTCAAATATGTTTTTCGCTCCGTGAACACGAAGTTAATTTCTGCTTCTATGATGTGAGTGAATCCTACACAAGGCATAGGAATAAAAACTAGTCCTAAAAAAACTAACCTTGTAGGACAGTTATAATCATGAGTGGGTGTAAATGTTTTCGTTGGTCTTCATCAGTCACTGATATTGACAATCGATATAGCAGCCCTACAGCAAACTGTTCCACAAAGTAAAAGAGGGAACAGCCGTGAGGAGTGGCCAGTTGTTACTTTTAGTAAATTTTATCTAAAGATCACTGACCACATGAAATAATCGAGAAAACTCTCCAAAATTATATCATTGAATGGAAGCCAGAAGAAGTTCTGGTTTATAGAGATACAGACGCTGATAATTATTCCATAAGTAAAAATTTTCAGTTGAATTTTTGTGTGAAAATGAAGAGCCTTTGTACTCGTTCACCTATGTTTTTCATCGTTCGTTACAAGTGACATGGCCAGGATTATTATGCCTGGCATTGCAACATAGAGAAGCGATTTATGATTTTCCAGCACACATTCCGTGAAAAATATGAACGCTATCGAAAGTAAGATTTTGATTTTCCGTTTTAATCGACTTTTGATGATACAACATTTTCTCGAGGTTAACTTGCGACCGGCATTGTTTCTGTTTCTTCCTGAATATATATATATATATATATATATATATATATATATATATATATATATATATATATATACTATTTATGGATTTATCTACGGAACGATAATGAGTATATATATATATATATATATATATATATATATATATATATGGGATCTTACCCATAATAATAATAATGGACTATTCCATACTTAATAAATACTGCGCCTCAGAAGTAGGCAAGGAGTCGTTCAAGTCAGTCAGTAGTTCAAATCGAGTCAAGAGTCGAGTCAGAGGCAGTCCGAAACACAGTCGCGTTCAGACAATTACTGCAAGACATTGGAATAGTGATACTGGTCGACACTACATTGTTCTCTCTACTAAACCTGATTGTTCATACTAACACTGCTACTTCTCTATATATAAATATATATTAATATATATTCCTGTTTGTAATCTATCTGTTTTATTCCATACCTGTGTTCGTGTTCTTCTTTATTGGTTCTACATTGGACTATCACCGTGGTACAAGGAACCGGACCATAACAATATATATATATATATATATATATATATATATATATATATATATATATATATATATATATATATATATATAGGGTGAGGTTATAGTTGTTCCAACGGGAAAAAGTGTATATTTTAAAGAGAAGAGAGAAGCCACAAACGTTTTGGTTTTAACGTGTTTTTTTTTTTTATTATTATACTTCCATATTTTTTGCTACAATGGTTTCAGGTCTTTCGACCTTCATCGGGTGAAGTGTGGTTATTTCCACATATTATTTAAAGAATTAATTTTACTTATGTTTTCCGATGTTTAACTATTGTCTTTTGTGTGTAGTATTAATCCAAAATTTGGTTTACTACTACAAACAGAAAAACCATAATTAGTCTGAAGAAGCCTTTAGAAGAAAGAAACGCGTGGCATAGGAAACATTTGCATCTTGTCATTCAATTACCCATCGTTAGTCTGATATACAGATCTGTATATTATATATATATATATATATATATATATATATATATATATATATATATATATATATAAAGTGGTCAAAAAGTGTCGACAGGCATTCGTCGTTTGGTGTTGAACTCAGTTTTCACTTTTGTCTCAAAAAAAAGTTTGTTACTCCCATTGTTGGCTAATATAAATAAATGTAGTTACGAGTAATATTTCGACATATATATATGTGTGTGTGTATGTGTGTATGTGTGTCTATATATATATATATATATATATATATGTGTGTGTGTGTGTATGTGTGTGCGCGCGCGCGCGCGTTTGTGTGTGTGTGTGTGTGTGTCTGTATGAATAAATGCTTACATTCGCATGTGTTTTAATTTTTAAATGAATGTGTTAATACTCAATAACATCAATTATGAACACGGTCACAATGTGCTGAGCGTGTTTGGAAAATAATAAAGATAATAAACTTTCCCATCACTCAAGATACATAAAGAAACATCTTAAAAATTAATATAAAAAAATCAAGCTTTGTAATGGCTAATAGAGTAGCCGAAAGTGCTCGAATATTTGGGACATTTGGACAGTTTTTACACACATTAGGTTCCGAAAAGAAAAGACTCATCTGAACACAAAGAAAGTGAATAAAAAGCCAAAAAAAAAGGTAAATCGCAGTACTTTGTACGTTGTTCTTAATGAAACTTGTATAAAAGAGGGATAGCTGCCTAAATACACAATTATATATATATATATATATGTATATATATATATATATATATATATATATATATATATATATGTGTGTGTGTGTGTGTGTATGTATGACAATGTATATACATATATGTGTGTGTTTGTGTGTGTGTGTCTAGATCAATATGAGCAATGAGAGGATGGTCAGTTTGTTTATTCCATGAAATTGATTCAATATTAAACTTAATTTTATTCACTCCTTTTCGCAAATCAGGTTTCCGTCTGCGCGCGGAAATCTTTTCATGCTCCTCACGCCTTTCTCATTTCTTTTTTCCCGCAATAAAGGTGCAGGGGTGCCTCACTGGGAAAGATACAGAAATATGTATGTATATTATAAGAGTAATGTATTTAAAAATATATTCGCTTTATCTATTACACTTTACACTATATATATATATATATATATATATATATATATATATATATATATATATATATATATATATATAGGCAACGGAAGAATTTACACATTGCGCAGATAAAGATGTAAACATACACAAATATCGATAATTTATCATAAAGTCTTTAAGGGTTATCAACAAACATCACACACAGACACATCTGTACATGTAGGTGATTGTGTGTATATGTTTTCGTATGTGTGTGTGGAGGTGTATGTGCGGTTGTCTGATCCATCTACGCCCCGCCCTGAATCTGTGTATTTTAAAAACACGATTTCCAAATGATTCATTTTCTGATTCGATAATATTTTTGATGCGTATTAGAATTAGATTTTTATCATTCATATTTCAATAATTATATCTCTCAATATCGATGTATGGTCCTTTTGTTTATATTCAATATTATATATATATATATATATATATATATATATATATATATATATATATATATATATATATATATATATATATATATATATATATATATATATATATATATATTGAATTAATGTAGATATATATATTGAATAAATGAATATAGCTCTATTCAATAAAACATGTCCAAAGTAGGGTTTGCTATAAAAATTTATTTACATATACATCTATCTATCTATCTATCTATCTATCTATCTATCTATCTCTTTTCATATATATAATTATGACAGTTAGTAACCGACTCATCCTTTCTCTTTCTCCCATTCTTTCTTTCTTATTTTCTTTCTGTCGTCCAAATACACATGCGGTGGGTTGCTAAAATGTTTTCGACCTTAACAAATTTTTCGAAATCTGATCAAATGACCCATTACTAAATTTAGTTTTCAATTTTTAGTCGGCCCGAAAAATTCGTAAAATCTCTTCACACAAATAAATATATATATATATATATATATATATATATATATATATATATATATATATATATATATATAATATTAATTTAAAATACTCAGAGTTCCCCTCTCCTTCCTGCATATGTGTAATCGCGTCACTTTACTCCAATGAAGTCCGAAAGGACAAAACTTTTCACACGAAAATGGCACTTTATATATAAAACTTATAAATCGTTTCCCCATATATAAATGTATGTATATATAGATATAAGAATATATTCTTATATACAGAGAGAGAGAGAGAGAAAGATGGGAAAAATGAAAAGTGAAGGAAGTTAATACACACAAAACACATATATATATATATATATATATATATATATATATATATATATATATATATATATATATATATATAATATATATATTTTCATTCCATTCCATTCGTTAAATAATTTAGACGCACTATGTGTATTAATTTTAATTTTAATCCTTTCAATTCCATGAGTGAATTTCTATAATTTAGCTGTAGAAAATTGATCAAGAAAAATTACCAACTTTTTTACAAATATTCTTTATTTTCCCAAATACTTTCAATCTCTTCCGAGATATGTATCTATCTATCTATCTATATATATATATATATATTGTTGATAAATATATATATATATATATATATATATATATATATATATATATATATATATATATATATATATATGTGTGGAAAATAAATATAGAAAATAGGAAAGAACTGTTTAGGTAAATAATCCAAACGTATTTTTTGTTATTATTTTAAAAAAACAAAAGTAGAGCCTAAATATAATTATTTATTTAAATATTTATCATATTTTAAATAAATAATTATATATTTATATATATATTTATATATATATATATATTTATATATATATAATATATATAATTATTATAAACATAAAAAATGTCTTATATATATATATATATATATATATATATATATATATATATATATATATATATATATATATATATATATATATATATATATATATATATATATATATATATATTATATACATTAGTTACGTTTTTAGTTGTATATATACGTATATATTTCGAAAAACTCGGCCATGTGCCACATCTTGCTACCTCGGGCAGCGGGTAAATAATTATACTTCAATGTCGTGTAATGTTTAGCAATCTTGTCTCTCTAGGTCAATTACGACTGAATAGTGAGTTCGATCCTCACTGAGTGCCCCATACTTTCGGCCTCGGGCCACATTTAAGATACGCTTGGAAAATCACTATATAATAAGTATTTGCTTTAGTTTATATGCGTATCTGCACACGCATAGAATATTTCGTCAGTTTTCCATCAGTACCTGAAGATTGCTATAAGTTGAAAGATTGAAAATGTATATTTATTATTAATAGTATTATGCTCTATGTATGTATGTATATATATATATATATATATATATATATATATATATATATATATATATATATATATATATATTTACACACATACACACATATATATATATATATATATATATATATATAGATATAATAGATAGATAGATATACATAGATATATATAGATATATAGATATATATCGTAATTACAACAGAATAAGTAATAAAAAAAAAAACGTATAAGCAGAGATATAGAAAGTGATGGAAACGTTTTTTTAATTTTTATTTTTTATCGTAATAAATCTATATATGTATATAGAGCGGACTATCTATCTATCAATCATCTATATATATATATATATATATATATATATATATATATATATATTCATTGGGACTATGAAGTTTGTTTTCCTATATTTTCGCGAGTCGAAATATTGACGCCCCGTCAAATAAGGGAAATTAAATCAAAATGACGAGCCTCGATGGATTAAATAATTAAGAACTTTTGGGTGCGTTAAAATTCAGAGTAGAAGAGAAATTAAAAAAAATATATCAGCTAACTTTGGGAAAACGCCGTGACGTCGCGTCTCTCTTCAATTCCTCAACTTCTTTGAAATTGGATGCAAAGGGCCAATCAGCTTGAAATAAATAAAAACTTACTTCACTTAAACTATGACACGAATAAATCTCTTTTCTATCCAGCTATGAGTTTAATCGTAGGTTAGACTCTGTTCTCAAGCCTCGGATGATAGATAGATAGATAGATAGATAGATAGATAGATAGATAGATAGATAGATAGAAGGAAGGAAGGACAACTGAATTCCAATCCGCAGGGAGGACAACGGGAAACCACTCCACTGTTTTTTTCTCAAGAAATTATGGCAATACACATATATTAAACGAAACTGAAGAGAAGCCCTTTTAAAACTTATGCATTGGTTTTACTCCATAATTTGTAAATAGGTTTTTAATCATTTTTAATGAATATTGTTGCGTTTTATCTTTTTGTATACCGTTAAAACACACGACATTTTAACGGACAATTATTTGAAAGTTGAGAATAAGTCCATTTAAAATGTATTTGACCTGTGTTTGTGTTTGGAATCGGGTTGAGCGATAGAAATATGGTGTGGGGTTGAGTTTAGGTTCCCACCCCCAACTACAAAATAAAACTGTAAATATTTAGAGTAAGGCATCAAACTATACATAGGAAATAACAAAAGTGCTAAATTTAAGAACGTTAAATTACCTCCTCTATTATCCATTGAGACTGTTATCCACCAAAAATAAAGAAAAGAAGCCAGTCCCGACTGTGGACCAATTAAAAGACAGTTCGCGCAGTGGATTGGTTGTTACAAACATCCAATAAGGTATGCGGAAAACGTGGTCTATCTTCGTCTAATTCATTAAAAGAGCCAGAATATCTGCTAGCGTTTGACTGCGAGGGGGAATCAGATATTGATCTCCCCTGATTGGGTCGATTTGGCGATGGGGTATATGATGTTGAAAGTCACGAAACCTCCTGATGAAACAAGTCGATTAACATCACTGACGACTCCCTCGGGGGCCTACTTAAGAGCGTATATTTGAATTAATCTCCGTCTTGGCGTTTAGAATTTGGAATAATATAATTTCAAACGATGTTTTGATACGTTGATGTTGTCCTTTGCGTGACATTTGCATGTGTAAAAGCCGCTTACAGTATTATACAGATTGGGATTATTTCCTTATCAATTATGAATAATATTAAACCTATTTGTTTCCAGCTATATCTAAAAATGTATTTGCTGGTTCCCAGACGTCAATTCGCTGGTTCCCAGACGTCATTTCATTGAAATTGCTCCAAGGAGCTGCATTCGCTGGTTCCCAGACTTCATGAATTCAAGCGCCCTACGAGGCTGGCATCCCGCTCTCACCCCTTCACTGTCATAAACTCTAAATGTAGCCGTCTCTTCTACTCTAATAGCTTCATGTCTCGCACCTCTCGCCTGTGGAACTCTCTTCCCTTTTCCTGTTTCCCTGTGAGCTATAATCTCCAGCTATTCAAGTGTAATGTCAATCGACATCTCCAGTTGCCTTGATCTATCCACTACCCTCATCCTTTCTTCTATCACTCCCTATCTGATCTTGCTCTAAATTTTCTGTAACCCCTTGCGTCCTAGTGGCTTCCAGCCTTGCTTGGGGTGAAATGCTTAAAAAAAAAAGAAGATGTCTCTGTGTGTGTGTGTGTGTGTGTGTGTGTGTGTGTGTTGCAAATTTACTAATATAGGTCAAGACCAATATTTCAATCTCCAGACCCCCGGATTTGGCAGAAAAGTCGATAAAACTGAAGGTAGGTACGACTTTTTATAAAAACCAAGGCAAAGTTAGACGTGAACAAAATGGTTACTGGATGAGCTGATGTTCTTTGCGCTAAATGAAAAACCAAGCTCTTGTTATGACATTCATGCAGAGCGATAGGTTTCATGAGACATTGGCTTCACACAAATGTTTTTTTAAAAAAAATCGGGTTTTTCGTAATACTTAAAATATAAACTTGAATAACTTCCTCATTTTTTATCCGATTTCCTTCAAACATGTCACAAAAAAATGCCATCATGCAAAAAATAAGTTAGTATCCGCGGATAACAAAAAAACCACGAAAAACTGTTCAAAAAGCCATTTTTCTGTCATAACTCCCTGGTTTTTCATCCGATGCTTCCCAAATTTGCCGTGTAAATTACTTAAGACATACAAATTGTCTTGCGTTAATATTTGATTTAAATTATTTCAATTAAGTGGACGAAATCTGCGACAAATTAGGTCCAAAATCGGCTTTTGCCATTTAGCCAATAGTTTCTTCATATGATTTCATCCTAAAGTGGCATTCGAACAACCTTTGATTCAAAGACTTTTTGAGAAGGTTTATTGAAGCGTTGAAAGAGAAAAATTCCCACTGAACCTCTTAAGTCCAGATTTGTAGTAACCGAACGAAAAAGTGGGGTGGTGTTCATGCATTTGCGCTTGCAGCTGAATCAAGCTCTGACGCTTCATCCTTGTTTTTGTTTGATTATTATATTTATGAAAAATGCCATACTATTTGAAAGTTATTACGGCCGAAGAAAATTTACTGAATATCTAAAACATTGAAACAATTTAACTCCGAGCAAGGTTTTATCTTTGGAATTCCTTTATTAAGAACAATCAAACACGAAGGACATACGGTAAAAAAGATGAGACGTGAATAGCTTAGTACACCAACGGATGATGCATGCAAGCGGGGATGCTGGCAGACATTTCTAGACAGGGGATGCGCGTATACAGGGAGTGCGGTTATATAATTGCAGCCATGTACACCCAGGCAACGCCGGGTATCTCGACTAGCTTTCTCTAAAACTTCGTCGTTGCTCACATGCTCAGTCCATAGTATTCTCATCATGCTTCTGTAGACCCAAATCTCTTTGCCTCAAGTCTGTTAGGGAATTGTCCAGCATTCACTTTTTTGTAATGTCATTGAAAACTCATTGCCACTTTTGTAAT